AACTGAACACAGGTGGAAAAATTTAGCCTTACAGTAGCAGAGGTGTCTCCCACACTGATAGAGGGCCACACACAGACACAGATGTGTCCACTTAATTGCTGGGAATCAGGAATTTGGAGTACATCTTACTTGATGGCAAACAAAAATAACTGAGTTCAGATACAGACAGTAAAGGCAGGATGTAATTAGAAAGACACTGAGGTCAGAAATAGGCTTTGGAGAGTGAGAGAAAGAAAGACAGAGAGACAGAAACAGACAGACAGAGAGAGAGAGAGAGAGAGAGAGAGAGAGAGAGAGAGAGAGAAAAGGAATTTTAGAAAGTCAGTATGCAGAATTGAGTATAGTGTTAACTCTAAAAGATTTGATCTGCCCTAAAACAAACTTGAAAACAGCATGAGTTAGAGATATCCTTCACCAAACCACTAATTTACAACAGTGTTCCAAGTTCCTTCAGCCACACTCAAGATACTGTATATTTGTTTAAAAATGCATTTGTAAAAGAGAATCCTTTGTTTACCACTCGTGTCCCATTTGTTTGTATATTTTCAGATTAAATAATTATGTTTTAGGGTCTGGAGGAGAAAGTACCTGATTGAACGAGAAATCTAATTACGAAACTCTCCACCCCTTCTCTTCTCTAGAGGTGCCACAGTGGTTTAGTGTGGGTTAAGCCAAAGGCCTATTTCCCCCCATCTTGTCCCAAAGACACTGACTTTGTACACTAATAATCTCACCAAAGCCAGAATGGCATTGAGACCAATAGAATCACTGGACCTTCCTGGTGTTAGCCCTGCAGAGATCATGATATGGATTAGTCTTCAGGGACCACCCTGGATTCCTGTGCCAAGGGACCAGTCTCAGAGCATCCTCAGAAAGGCTAACCTTCCCAGTAACTCCCAATTCCTTAGTTTGTGAGTCAATCCCAGGCAAGATTTTTCTGCCTGCTGACAAGAGTTCAGTCTTCATTAAGTGTCATGAAAAGACAAACACAGAGTGATACTTAACTGTTGTGTCTGTTTGAGTAAGAAATGCTCAGCTGACTGACTTAGCGAAGGTCTGGGCATGACTGAATGGATTTACTGAAGAGTGAAGACACATCTTGAGTGTGGGTAGTACCAACTTATAGTCTTGAAGCCCGAATGGGATAAAGATGAGAAAAGGGAAGGAAGTCCCTTCTGTTTCTTTGGAAGAGCTCCAGTATTTGCCTTTGCTTTTGATGTCTACCTTCTGGCTTCCAGCACAGACTTACCAGTGACAGGCATAAACAGGCTTATTAGGCAGAATTTTAAAAGTACACATTTAGATAGAATAAGGTATGAGCCCTCAAAAGACAGGTGCGTGATGGCCTGGAGCTGGGTGTATTTATGTGGCCTTGGGAGTCTTTAAGAAGAGTGATCTAAGATGTGTGGGGTACTATCTGTATGGCATACAGAGCATCTATGTGTGCAGTGAGCTGAGAAATGCTGCCCACTTATCAGTGTGCTTCCTTGAGGATAAGTCTGGAATCTGTGGAAGTGGGAATCTACAGAAAGCCCAAGTTCAATTTATGGTGAAAGGTGATAGGCATTTCTACAGATAAAAGGTGATGGTTTATGTACTGGTAAAAAACATGGGCCCCTCATTTACAAGATTATTGTATCTTTGATACCCTTGGAAATTTTTCTTAGAAGTTTCCTGGAAAGGAAAAACAGAAAACCAAAAACCAAAAACCAAACCCAAACCCAAACCAAACCAAGCAAAAACCACTGTAAACTTGAGTAACTTTATGTCCTGAAGCTGGAGTTTTTCTTTTAAAGTACAATTTTAAAAGTGCAGTTTTCTTTGCTTTCTTGCTGTCTGTCTTTATTTTTTCTGTCCTACCTCAGTTACCTCTGAACTGGTGGACCTACATGAGGCAGGTCTAGTGGAACTAGAATAGCCTAGGTTGGCTGTTTTTACTGAAATGAAAGAAAAATACCACTATTCTAGTAAAGAGTCTCACTGTATCTAACTATGGAAGGAATAGGTATTTTTCCCTATAAAAATAGCTATACAATTTACAAAATACTAAGTCTGTGATCTAAATGAAAATATATTATCTTTTCCCTTTAATTTAGAAAATGTACCTTAATTTTGAGACCCTTGCTTAAATATTCATTTATTGGCTTGAACCTGCCTTAATAAGTGAATTGTTTCCCCCCATTTTTTAGACAATAATTGAAATGAACAAGTTGTGATCCCTAGATTTTTTGAAATTTAAGTAAATTCCCTGCTGGTCTGTGTACATCTTTCCTGGAAAACAAATTAATTATATTGCAACAATGGGAAAAAAACTAAATGTGGGCAAAATTCCTAGGCATATATTGCTTTTCCCCAGCTTTAGGTACTTTTGGAGAGAGAGAGCCTGGCCATTGAGCCTGCCTCACTTGAATTGACTGATGGAGTTGAAAGGTTGTCTCTCTGATAAAATGTTTCCCAACCCACATAAGTCATTCTCCAATCATAATGACCTACTTGATCTGCATCCTTCTGCTGCTTCATTTTTATCCCTATTTCTAATTATCCTATTAGCAATATTTTTCTCATTTGCCAAACATTAATGTGAGCTATGTTAAGAGAAAAGAACCTGTTGCCTTTGTGTATCACTGGAGGCATCAATGCTGGCCGCAGTGCTCACTTAAGTTTGTTGAATGAGTGAACGAGTGACTGGGTTGATGTTTTGATTTTTCAAAAATTTTTTTATTATGGAAATATTCAAACACACATGAAAGAGAATGTAATAATGGTGTAATAAATCCCCACCTTGTGCAACAACTGACATCACCCTCTTCCTCTTCCCAGCTCATTTGATTATTTTAAGCAAAGTTCTGACATGGTACCATTTCTTCCATTAACACGCCACTATGTGTTTCAGCTGAGGCAGCATAGCTGAGGAGTCCTTTCTGTTTAATATAACAACAATGTTATTCTCCCTAAACATAAGTATATTAAACCATATTTTTAATTTCCTTAATATGTTAGGCTTAATATCATCTAATACCCTTTCAGTGTTCAAATTTCCTGAATGTCTTACACGTATCTTTTTTATAGTGAGTTTGAATTAGGATCCAATGAGAACTGACCAAGGCCTTTTGTTGACAGAGTTCTTAAAATTTCTTTTAATCTACAACAGTTCCCATGCAGTGCATTTGTCCTATAAAATTGTCCATGGGACGCTGTGAATTTCCTATGTACACAATGCCTGGCTGTGTCTGTTGGTGATGTGAAGATTCATCTTAGGTTTAACTGTTGCTCAACTAATTAATTCAATATAATATTCCCCATTTGCCTTCCACCTTCTAGCTTTAGCAATAAGTAGCTATGTCTTTAAAATGGATATTTTAATTAAAGTTTATGAAGGGGTAACAGTTTAAGAATAAATACTTGCTTTTCTTTTACTTAGTATTTCATATTAATGAGTTAATGTGCTAGCAGTCTCCAAAGGTGACTATTTAAATACATACACGTGGAGATAGATAGATAGACACAGATACAGATACAGATACAGATAAAGATCTATTTAAATACACACATGTGGAGATAGATACAGATACAGACACAGATATAGATATAGAGATACAGATAGTGATCAAATGAGTTCTACATCATATATCTCACACCTTGCTCAAATTATTTTTGGTGTTCAATTTGGCTCATCTTTAACCAGTAGGCAACTATTCAAGTTATTTCTAATATTTGATTATTTCCCTTCTTGGTGAAGTTATAACGTTCGAAGTTCATTTTATGCCTTCCGTCTCTCAGACCTGGAATCTGCCCTGTATTCAAGGAGCCTGGCTCCTGTTGGTGAAAGAATACTGAGAGGACTTTCTATTCTCATTTCGGAGGGTTCAGGGTTCTGCTGTAGATTCTTTCTTTTATCCTTGATAGCAAGATCTCTGTGGAACTCTTGAACATATTGATACCTGTCAAAGTTCCAAGTGAAGAATAAACTCTTGTTTTGCACAAATGTTCACCATCTAATTGTACACATAGTGAGGCACTTAACTTTTGGAACATTGGGTAGTTGCAGAGGAAACACTGGGCACTTTTGAATAAAACCGTGCCTGTGTACAAATCTTATCTTTGATGATCTGTGTTACATATCATGTTTTAGCTTAGCTTGTGCAGCTGCAATTTATTTAGAAGTGCTTCTTTGTTTTTGCTTCCAAATAAATGAAAATGTAATGTGAAAACCAAAGTTTACCACTTTCCGATAGCATTTTATCTACTATTTCATCAATCTAGAGATTACTTATGACATTAAAGGTTTGTTCTACTCTGACATTGGATACAGGAACTGAAACAGGATATTGAACCATTTGAACAATTTTGAAACCACAGCCTCTCTACAGAAAAAAAAATTTTTTATATAGAGGTTGCATCAAGGAAAATGAACTTTATGTTCAAGTAAGAACTGTCGTAACGAGAATTTGAGGTGATTTTTAACATGGTTACAAAATCCAGCTTTGCCTTAATTCACCTATTGGAGAAGAATTCTTGGAGGTAACCAAACTCAAAGCAGGCAGAGGACCATAATTTTTATTTTCAACAGAAAAAACACTTTTCTGGATATAAGCTCCTGAGATGAGAGAGTCAATGTTTCAGAGATTCTTGTATACCATACTTCTGCAGTGGAAAAGTGACTTTTATCCTAAATAACTCAATTTCCCTATCAAGGAAATTTGGGACTTACCAAAATCAAATGAAAATCACAGAAAATGTCCAGAATTAATCATTTTAATTCTTTTGAGGCAGACGATTAAGGTCTCTTAAGAGTAATACCAAGTAGTTTTTGTAATAATTGGATATGAGTTATGAAAAATAAAGAGTTTAATAAAGGACAACACTAGATCAAATATATGTTGAAAAAAGAAACTATTTATATAAACTGTACTCTGCCTGTGTCTTGCTTATTTTTTTTGTTGCTGAGACAAAATACCCAACATTCACAAATTAAGGGAGGAAAGGTTTATTTAACTCACGGTTTGTAGAAGTTTCAGTCCAAAATTTACTGGCTCCAAGGTAGAGCAGCAGGGTAGGTAAGCACGCAGAGGAGAAACAGCTCATGGCAGGCAGAAGGTAGCAAAGCCACAAGGGACAACCACGGCCTTTTCTTTCCCTTGTATCTTATTCAGGCTACCTAGAATAGGTAGCGCTCACATCTTTAAACCTAGTGCCCTTGATCCTAATCAAACCCAGCGCCACACATTAAAGATCCAGCCACCTCTGAAAAGGCCCCGACTGTGACTGCATGAGGCTTTGTGGGGACATCTAGATACAAGATTATAGCTTGACTAGAAAAAATTTCACCCTAGACCAGTGAACATCTTGTGCAGTCTTCATAGAAGGCTCAAGATAATGAAAGGATGACGTGGAAAGAGGCATCCCACAGTCAGACAGGCTGGGACCCAAAAGCAGATGAGACAATGTTGGAGAGAGCTGAGCGTAAGTCATGTCATTTATGTTTGCTGGTACCTCTTGGTTCTTTTTCTAAATGCATATTTTTAATCTAACCTATTGTAGAATGATAGTCTTCTCTTGTTGTACAGTTAGATTAATACTAGTATCTTCATTTCCTGGTGGAAACCAAGATCTAAATCTCTAAGAGACTTAACTTGGCTCTCAGAGTCTTTCCTCCTCTTGTACAAATATAGCAAAGAAATAAAAAGCACAATTTAAGGAGCGCAAACACTCTGTAGTGTGGATTACCATTCTGCTAATATCTCATGGTCAAAATGCTTGCCCTTTCTCAAGATCTACAAAATTTGATTTTATTATTACCTATATTAACGTAAGATTAACCTACAGGAAATCTCTTTGGGCTTTGAAGAAAACAATGTGCAAGTTCAACACAAACTAAAGAAGCACTAACGTTAAATATTATCCCCTTTTTTGGGTAAATCAGCTATGTTTGTCATTATACTATTTTATACATCTGGACTCCTAAAAAGTCTAATTAAAATGGACTTACTAGTTTTTTCTCATAATAGTAATTTTACTGTAGTAAAAGAGTATTAAAGCGCAGTTAGCTTTTTAGTATTTCATTAGTATTTTCAAATGTCTTTAATTTAAAAGATTAAGTAATCCAAATATGATATTAAGAAGCAAACTACAGGGAATTTTCTGTTGGCTTCAGCAATTAGGAGCAGCCGGTCTGTCTGGTGCAACTTCTTAGAACTGGGAATTATCTACTTCCCTTTTCTTTTTCCTGCTGTTGCTTTGCAGGCTCTTCATGAGTTAGCACACTTCTCCCAGCCTGTCAGGGCTCAAGGCATAGAGGGAAAGGAGTGGTTGCCAGGAGGCACCAGCCAATGCACCTCTGCCTTTCTATTTAATCCTTCTTCACTTCCTGGTCTCTCTTCTCTTCAGCCACCCTAAATCCCACCCCAACTCCCGTCCCATTTCCTTTCCCTGAAATATCTAATTTCCCTCCTTATCATTGCAAAGCCATACCACCCCATGGGGTGACTAGAATCCTCTTGGTGCTGGCTAGAAACCAGGGGCTCCAGGAGGGGTTGATTTGTGTCACTCCCTTCACCCCAAATTTGTATGCTGAAGTCCCAATGTCCAGTAACTCAGTATATGAACTTATTTGGAAATAGGATCATTGCAGAGGCTACTAATTAAGACTAGGTCATATTGGAGTTGCGTGGGTCTCTAATCCAACACAAATAGTTTTCTTATGAAAAGGGGAAATAGGGGCACAGAGAAAGATACATATGAGCACAGTGAAAGCAACATGTGAAGAGACACAGGGAAGTGGTGACCACCCGTGAACCAAGAAGCATTTGAGGCTCCTAGAAAGTGAGAGAAAGTCCTGGAATAGATCCTTCCTGTTCTATCTAGATGTCTCCCCCAAAGCCTCCTATGCTCCTAAGTGGATGTGTGATACTGGATTAGTCCATAGATTGGTTTGGCATAGTTCTGGTGTAGATGATGGTCTTACTGAGGAGTGGGTACTCATCTTGGTTGTGGGTGACACCAACTAATAGTCTCGTAGGCTGGATAGAATAAGAAGAGAAAGAAGGATGAAATTTTGCTGCTACCTGCATGCAATGGACTGTTTCTCCTCCGCAGTGCTCCTCTGCTATGCTGCCCTGCTGCGAAGCCAGCCAACTGTAGACTAAAACCTCTATAAACCGTGAGTTAAAATAAAATTTTCCTCCTCTAACTTGTGGGTGCCACATATCTTGCCCCAACAATGAGAAAGTAACTATATGTCACTTCCCTTGTCACCCTCAGAAAGAGCCAGCTCTGTGGGCAGGTTTGGACTTCTAGCTTTCAGAATGGAGACAGTAAATTTATATTGTTTAAAGCATCCATTCAGTGATACTTTGTAATGACAGCTCTAGCAAACTGATACCGGACTCCTCAAATCCATCTCCTTTATACACTTACTGATGCTTATTTTAGAGAAAGCAATGTCCCTTCCCACTGAAGCAGGACCAGTTGTACGTCTCCCATAACACAGTAGATGTGTGTGTTGGTGATAGTTTATTTTATGTATGCATGTATGTATTTATTTAAAAATCAAAAAACAATAAAAAGATGATACAGAACTTCAAAACAAAATAATAGAAGATTGTCAAAGTAGTTGCTCGGATTTCAAGATATAAGCATGGAAAACTGATCAAACAATGAAAGCACATCTATGTTCATTAGTGAGTTTGTCATTTAGATCTCTTTTTTGGTTGTGTCTTTCTCTGGTTTTAGTATCAGTAATACTTGAGGAGTATTGGTATTCAATTGTTTCTAAATTTCTTGTAGAGTTCTGCCATGAATCCATCAAGACCTAGGCTTTTCTTTGTTGGTAAGTTTTTAATTGTGTTTTCAATTTCAATAACTAATATTGGGTTTTTCAAAATTTTTATATCTTCTTGATTTAGCTTTGGTTTCTAAGAATCTATTTCTTCTGTGTTTTCTATCCTATATGAGTAAAGACTTTTGAAATAGGTATCGATTTTATAAATCATCACAACAGATCTCATAGGATCTGTTGTGATTTTATTCCTCATTGAATGAATTTAAGTTTTTCTTTCCTTTTCTTGAGAAGGTTGGCTAGGAGTTTTATCTATTCATTTATTCTTTCAAAGAACCAACTTTTCAATTCATTAATTCTTTGTATTGTTTCCTTACTCTCAACTGTGTAAATTTCTGTTCTGATCTTTATAATTTCCTCCCTTCTATCAACTTTGGATTTAACTTTTTCTTCTTTTTCTAGAAGCTTGAGGTACAGAATTAGGTTCTTTATTTGTACTCATGCAGTTTTCCTGATGTTAGAATTCAATGCTAGGAAGTTCCCTCTAAAGACTGCTTTCATTGTGTCCCACAAGTTCCAGTAGGTTGTATTTGCATTTTCATTTGATTGTAGATACTGTTTAATTTCTTTAATATCATTTGTGATCCACTGGTTGTTCAGGTGGGTGTTATTTAATTTCCATATGTTTACAGAGTTTTTATGGTTTCTTTTGCTATTAATTTCTAATTTCAATGCACTGTGGTCAGATAATATGCATGGGATAATTTCAGTTTTTTTTCATTCACTTAAGCATGTTCTATGGGATAGTATGTGGTCTATTTTAGAGACCATCCTATGTGCAGCTGAAAAGAATGTACATTCTAATGTTGGGTGAAACACTAAATGTCTGTTAAGTCCATGTTCACATGTTTGATTCAGTTCTATTATTTCTTTGTTGACTTTTTGTCTGGTTGATCTATCTCTTTGTGACAATGGGGTATTAGGATCCCCCATTACAACTGAGTTGTTGCGTATTTGTTTTTCATGCCTATTAGTATTTGTTTTATATAGTTGGATGCTCCCATATTTGTTGCATATATATTATTGGTTATTTCTTTTTCTTGAATATTTCCCCCTCTCCCATCTGTAGTGACCTTCTTTATCTCTTTTGATTGCTTTTTGTTTGAAATTTAATTGACTGCAAACTGAATAAGCTACCCCTGCTTCTTTCTGAGTTTCTGTTGCCTGGAGTATTGTTTTCCATCCTTTGACTTTCAGTGTATGAGTTTCTTTTTGAGTTAATTGTGTTTCTTTTTATACAGCATATTGTTAGATCTTGTTTCTTGATCCATTCTACCAATCTGTTTCTTTTGATTGGTGAATTGAGGCCATTTATATTGATAGGTATGAGAGATACGTATTGGCTTATCTATGTCATATTATTTTCCTGTTATTGGTTCCCTGCTTTCCCACTTTAATTGCCTGCTCTGCCTGGTGGTTTCATTCTGTTATAGTTCTTGGAAATGTGATCATTTTTATCCCTATCTAGAATACCTTTCAGTACTCTTTATAGGGTTGGTTTGGCAAGCATGAATTTCTTCAGTTGTTCTTTGTCATGGAAGTAATTTTGGAAGATAGTTTTTCAGGATACATTTATCTGGGTTGGAAGTTGTTTTCTTTCAGGGCTTGAAATACTATACTCCAAGTTCTTGACTTGAGGGTTTGTGTTGAGAAGTTGGCTGATTCTAATGGGGTTTCCTTTATATACAATCTGTTTCTTTTCTCTAACAGCTTTTAATATTCTTTATGTATGCTTAATTTCTGGAATCTTGATTATTATATGTCTGGGTGAAGACTTATTTTGGTTATAGCCATTTGGCTTTGTATATGCCTTACTTATCTGTATGCCAGATTCTGTTTCTATGCTTGGGAAATTTTCGCTATTATTTCTGCAAATTTTTTTTATGTCATTTGCATTGACTCCTGCTTTTTTTCATTGACACCTATCAGTTTTTTTGTTTTCTTGAGAATAGAGTATATTTACTGAGAGAAAGAACGCTTCTTCCAAGAGAGAGACAGAAAGGATTCTGAGTGGATTGCCAAGGATTTCACCTTCTCCTGGTATTTTTAGTAAAACCAGAGGTGAGGCAGGTCCAAGTTGGAGAAAAATGGGAACTCACAAGGCAGGTGAATATGAGGTGGGACAAAAATATGGCTAACCAATGAGATTACTAGTGTAATTGCTGAAATAAAATTGATTAAATTGGAAGCAAATGGGGAAGCAAATCACATAGCAAGTGGGCATGAATACAGAACAGGTACTTTGCCTGTAAGGTGTGGGGTTAGTGGCTCCTATTGGCCTTCTTAAGGTAATTGATACCTACTTAGAATATCAATCCTTGATGTTAATACTTAGGGAGTGCATTTGTTTTGTCTTTCGTCTTGAGAGCTGGCCTGCAGTGGGAGGTGCTTGTTTTTCCCCATAGTTGCAAGATATCTGGTCTTCTGCACTGGTTCCTTCAAGAGCCAGCCCTGTCTGACTGCCTACAATATTGTATCTAACTCAGCTGCCTATAACATTCCTCCCTCTGAAGAAGTACCCCAAACTGCCATGAGAGAGAAATGGATAATGACCAATCTGGCTTCTTCAGGCTGAAGAGAGCCATATTTGCTGATCAACAGAATTATTTTACAGAGGGTCTATCTAAAGGCCCTTGACAGACACCAGGCATTTTCATCTTGAGTAGGCATGTAGCTTTTAAGTCTGGAGGGGACAAAGCCAAAGAAACAAGGTATGCATGGGCCAAATAATAGAATCAACAGGATAATTACAAGTACAGCTAACAAAGATTTCCACCACGAGGAGGTAGTAATGGCCTCCCATAATGAGGATAAAGATAAGGTCCAGGGTATTTTAGAGTCTGACATGTCATGACATGACATATCTTGAACAGCTATGGAGATATTATCAGGAGGATCATGAATGTACATACCACATTCAGTTTTTATACTTTACAAGTATCTCCTGTGCTATTGTTAGAATGTCTAATGCTACCTGATTTTGGAAGATGGCCTATCTCCTTTAATTTTTTTTTATTTAGGAGAGAGAGACCAGCTATGGTTGTCATTTAAGGCCTGTTGAGTATAGATAGTTAAGGCCTCGATATATGTTGTATAACTTCTTTAGGCAAGAGCTGGTGGATCCCAGTAAAAGGAATCTAGCATATTTATTACTGGTTTTATCTGTATGATTACTTAGAGTTTGGCATTCTCTAGGCAAGAACAAATTTTAATCAAAGCATGTATAATCAAAGTATATACACAAAGTCATGTATAGTCAAAGCATTAGACCTGACTGGTAAGTTTAAAAACTGTTTTTAAAGAATAACAATTGTAACCCACTTGCTATTAGGTCCCTTTATTGATGGCGTCTGAAATTTTGTCATAAGTCCCTCTAGCTTTAGTTGTAATTATCTTAAAATTTGGATAACCTATGAAGAACCAGATTAATACATTGTTTTGACCAATGAAAAACTGTCTTAAGTTTTTGTACATGAACAGCAATATGTACTGTGTTTGTAAAAACTAGCTTCAGTATCATTTTGATTAGTTGGCAACTTGAATATATTATTGCAGTGTTTAGACAGGATAAAACCTCTCCAGGAAAGGAGCTGGGGTTTTAGCCATAATTCAAAGGAATGTGTGAAGAGAAAGTTATTCCAGTTACAGTTTAAGCACGATATTTTTTGGTGACTGTTTTTATTGAAATACAGTACCTGGAAGGAAGGCCAAAATTGGAGAAGGACAAAGAGACGCGTGTCAATGTCCAGAAAGAGGCTGGGCTTTTACCTCTTATCATGGTTACTCAGGGCCCCACCATGGAAATGATGGGTAGAGATCACAGTCTGGCGAGAGGCAGGAGGCAGCATGCCCCAAAGCCCTTTAGTCTTGCTGGACACCCTGGGGAAAGGAATCGGAGCTCTGGGGTCAGTTTGGCTTTCAGTGGCATCCTTTACAGTCATGGCATGGCATAGAGGACCTCTTAAGGCAGTCCCTCTTAAGGTGGCCCGGATTTCCACAATAGTAGAAGCTGAATTTAGTCATTGAGCTCTTCTTGGAACCCCGAGAATCAGACTTAAGATGTGTTTCTTTTAAGGCTGCATCAAGTACAGCTACCTTTTGGTCTTTGTTTTCTCTCTTTAACTTTCTCCCAGTGCCAATTATAGAATACTAAGGAGGTGATTTTTACTAAACTATCAAGTGAACTATGTGGAGCAAAGCCTATCTTTTCTAACTTTTTCTTATATCTGAGGCTGGCTGGACAATAAACTTATCTTTAAGAATAATTTGTCCCTCTATCAAATCAGGATCTACAGAAATATATTTTATCAGTGCCTCTCATAAATGACCTAAGAAGTCAGAGAGGTGTTTCTTTTTTTCTTGTTGAAGAGCTGATAAATTAATATAATTGAATGGTTTAGTTCTTCTGCTTAGACTTCAAGAACATATGTCTGGAAATGTTTCCAATTCCAGTCTCTTATCTGGTTGCTAGGCCAGTAGGGCTCTCGGATAGGGACTTCTTGGGATCCAGTGGGAACTGGTAGTTCTCCTGGCTGTCTGTCTTCTGACTTTCTAAAATTAACAATGTATATTCATCCCCAAATGTAATAAGCAGGTTGTAATGCTGCATGTCTCTCACTAGAAGTCAATGCTCAATTTAAGATTAACATTACTGATAAGATTATATCCAAAAGATGAGAAGTATAAAACAAAAGAGGCCTTTATTCTGAGAACAAGGAGAGAACACACCCGCCCCCCCCCCCAGTCCGGCTTTCTCTCTGGCGTACTCGTGTCATGGGGGTTATATAAGTAGCCTCGGTTTGGGGTGGAACCTAAAGGGGCATTAGGGATGCACGGGTAGCGCATTGGTAAATTCCTAGGGGCGGGGAAGATGGAGTCACAGGTAAATTCCTAGGGGTGGGGGAGATAGGAGCTCCTTGGTTCCGCCTCTAAGGCTTCACTGGCTACAGTGTCCTGTCTGGGCCAAAACTCTTTCAATTACATCTTTCCAA